CAGCTGGGTAACCCGAAACACACGCCCCGCTTATACCCCAGGCACAAGAAGGACCAACCCACCACTCTCCTGTTAAGGGGTCTAGATCCCCATCCAAACTTAGACTCCAAGCCCCCACACGTGAGTCTCGGACTCAGTGTGGTGCTTAGACCTCCACCATCCCCGCCTCCAATCAGTCGGTCCGGAAAGAGCTGGAACCCACGACAAGAGAGCAACGAGCCTTCCTGCCCTCATAAGTAAATATGTGCTCAGGATAATAAGTCTGTGACCTGACTAGAATCCAATATAATGGTCGGTCCTTAACCAACACAGGCGGAATAAGTACAATCCTAGCCTCGCTCGAATGCCCAACCAAGTCCAGATCTAAAGTATCATTCCGTCCGATCTCCAATTATATATATATATATATATTCTATGTGATAGTAATATAATAACAACAATAATATCTTTCCTATTTCTCGTGAGTGACAGGCAATCACTCGACTTCTACCGAAGTGCACTAGCATAGCAATCTACACGATCATGTCATACTAGTTAGACTCATAGGATAAGGATATATATATATGTGGGGGGGGGGGGTTCATTCAACTCCTTAAACTTAATGCACCAGCATAAAATAAAGTGTAGAATAATAGGGGTTATGCACCGGGGCTTGTCTGGGTAAAATATAACCAAGTTAGCTTTTCATCATGGTGGCATGATCATCAAGTCACCATCTGCTTCCACTACTCCAGACGACTCTACGATCCAACATCGCTCCTATCATGAAATACGTGGATGCAACGCAGGGACGTAAATAATCAACGGCAACCGTAACTCTAAAATACGATTACGTCTCACAAGCTAACGAGCTAACTCTAATGACTAGCATACTTAGTCATGTATCCATGTTGTCAAGTGAGGCTCATTTCCAGAAAATGTTTTCGTTCTACAAACCCCTAATTATTTTGATATTTGATTGATTAAATATATATTTTTGTAGTAGGGCTCATTTAGTTACCTGAACAAACTAATTCCTATGGAGCTACAAAAATTACAGTGAGCACCCAATAATGTTAGAAATCTACTATAAAAATTTCAGATCCAACACTACTACCAATTTTTCATAACAATTCCTATAAATTTATATTTTAACAATATTAAGTATCTCAAATTAATTATATAGCTCCTAAGTATATTATAAAACTATATGAACAAAATATACTAGTAGATACATCATGATTTTAGAAACCTGACAAAATTAGTTTCACAATTTTTAGCCGACAACACAAATTTATATTGAATTTACAAGTTGCCTTAGAAACTAAATTAGAAAATGCCTAGAAAAAAAAGAGGCCGACAACAACCATATCGGCCCCAGCGGCCCACGCGGACGAGGCACGCGCGGTAGCTGGCCCAGCAGCGGCCCAAGGCGGGGAAGCCCGCGCCCGCGCCGCACTTTTTGCAAAATAGCCCCTAGCCTACCTGAATATTATGCGGCGCCTTCGAGTACTATTGCACCAGAGAAACCCTTTGCACAGAGCACCCCCCAACAAACCTATCTTCGCAACAAGCCGGTCCTCGACACCCCCTGCATGGTGACGTGGCTCCGGCCGTCGCAGCGCGCCCTCACCAGCCATCAGAGCGAAGCACCGCACTACGAGCAGGCCTACGAGCACCGTGGGCCAAGACGAAACCTAGAGCGGTGATTTGAAGCTAAACGATGACCCCTAGTGTGCTGCCCACACAGGTGGGCAAACCCCACGGCGGCGCGCCTTCTCCGTCGAACTAGGTCTACGACGAGTATAACGGATTGAGCGAGAGAAATAGGAGCTTACCCCGAGGCTAGCTGCGGTGATGGATAAGACGGGGAAGCGACGAGGTGAGCGAGCCACGTGCGCTCGCACCGCGTGACGGCGCTCCGGGTGCGACATCAACGTGTCAGCCCATCACCGGTGAAGGTTCTGGCCAAGCCGAGGAGAGCACCAGATAGAGGGGTCAATGGTGAGTTAGTACGACCATCAATTTAACTACAACGGTGACAAGAGACTAACCGTAAACTAAACCAAGACACGACGGTGAAAACGGACCGATGGCGAGTAAAACTCGAAATTGGCCGACAATAAAGCGTGGCTGTGCCCTGGTGCGGGACGGGCTGTTAGCTAGCTTCCACACCTAGCTACTGGGGCATCGAATCGAGGTGCGTTATCCCGTGGAGCACGAATTTAACTCATGGAGCAGTGCGGTTCCGTCGGCGGCGATGGCAGGCGGGCAGTGGCTCCGTGACAAAGGCAACAATGCGACAGGATAATGAAGACAGGCAGTGGCTCGGTAGTAGGTGGATCTAGTGGTCGAGACAGGCACCACGTCGGCTAAAACTGTGGCTCTTGACTGGTAGTGGCCATCGGCCTCTCGCGCGGCAGCGCACGTGCAGCAGCACCACAGCGTAGTAGCACGACCCGGTGCACATGGCTCAGGCATGGACACAGCACAACACCGAGAGTGGCAGCAACAGCGATAGCCCATGGCGCAGCGTGCAGCCAGAGCCAGCGAGAGAGGTCAGCGGAGCAGCGGCCAACCCACGACGGCGTGCTCGCGTGGTGACAAGGGTACTCAGGCGAGAGCCTAGAATGACGTCTTGCACGCTTCTTAAAGTAGCCCAAAGTTCACTTACTAGCTCGATAAAAACTCCACCAAGTCCATGAACCCCAAATTGACATAATCGACTTGCTAACAAAGCAATTGTCGTCGCCACTGGATGCCCCAAGAGGAAGTTGGAGAGGCGCCAAGGTAGATTTGTTGTGCCGAATGACAGTTCACAAACATAGCGGCAACGACATAGCTAAAACACGTTCCAACGTAGTTCGGACACTTCTTGCGTGAACATCGCAACTCAAACACAACCACAACCTTCACCACGCTTAAGTTCACACCTCGACGCACCCAATCGTACAAAAACATAGGTGTATCGCTTAACCAATTTTGTTGGAATTTAAATGCCAAAAATGACATTGTCTATCATTTCCGATTTAGAAAAGTTAATGGTTCAGTTTGATCTACAACTTTTAACACTTTAGCCGTAATTTTCAAAGGGTCTAAACCTTATTAATTTTAACTAACTAACATACCATGACCTAGTTCATATTTTGTACTAACTCATAGGAACAAAATATTAAAGCACTATTTAACTATTTTGCTCAATATAATTCGTCAAAATGGTACTTTAAACATAAATTCAAGTGTTTACCGACTTAACGAAAAGATCTTATCTTAACGTTAAGTTTGATTTTAGAGCTCCTAAAACACTGGCTAACATCTATTTTTCAAAAGTTAAAGTTGCATTGTCATCTACCAAGTTTGTACTTTGAACTTTATTTAAATGTCACATACATGTTCTATAGTATTTTTGCTTAATAAAAATTGGTTTTAAACCCTAAGTGATATAACATGACTATTGAATCAAATTATGTTTAACATTTTCGTTGATCGTTTTGAGTTACGGAAATTGATCTACACACTTTATCACATGCATTGACACATAAATATAATGCTCATGACATAGTTTAGTAAGTTGTTTAAGCGGTAACACCAAGGGTGTTACAGAAACATAGAGTAGATCTCTCAGTAGTAGGCAAATAAATTGCTGCTATAGACACGATCTCTGGGCTAATATATTCGTAGAAATATATCACAGCCAATGTCTAAGATTCTACCACCTGTGTATAGCCTTTAATAATGAATGATGGTAGTCACCATAAAAATGTACCATTCTCATATTTCCAAAACACTTATTTGGGACAACATAATATAGGTAATTATCAAGTTTAAAATGAACATGACGTAGACCTCTCAGTAATAGACGAATAATTGCTACCATAGACACAGTCTCTGGGTCGAATAATTCAAGATGAATTAAGCGCAGCCAATGCCTAGGTGTATGATCCCCAATATATCTAAGATATGCATTGAACGATTTTGCATTTAATCCATCATTAATTAAGAAATGCTTAATTAAGAGGATTTACCATTGTTAAAATATAATTTATGGAAAAATTATCAAATTAACAAGGGTAACAAAGTATAGGAATAAACATACTACTGTACTAAATTTACTAAGCATATAGTGCTATAGTTGGGTAGTGGCATAATTTATGTAAAATCCCGTAGGATCAAAGCAAAAATTCACTTCCTATGTCAGCCTCGCTAGCAAAAATGGTTTGGCTGCCATTTTGCTTTTCCAGATTAGGCGCAGATGAGCCCAAATCCATTCATCTTTAATTAACTATCAATTAATTAAGTGGAGCTGATTTTATTGCAACCAAAATTAATTACCAAACAATAAAATCGGCAAACTATGTATATTTAGATATGGATAATTTTCTGGTCTTAAACAATGTATAGGAGTACAATCTCTACCATACTCATAACTAAACATAAGATCATAGGCATAGAAATAGATGTCTAAATGTTATTATAGTAAATTCAACTGCAATATAATATCATGATGCAATTTCTAAAGACTCGTAGGTCTTGAAAAAGAATCTATTTACACTAGTAAATAACGTGCATCATAATTTTTTTAAACTCAAGGTCTAAAACAAACATTTATACTAGAAATAAATGCAATATTGCAATGGTGATACATTGGTCCTGTTCGGCTTACCCCATATTCGGCTTGTTCGACTTCTTTTTTCAGCCGGAACAGTATTTCTCACTCACAATAATTCAGCTGGAACAGTATTTTTCAGCCAGTTTCAGCCAAGTTTCAGACCAGCGAACGGGGCCAATAAAATCCAAAGGCTAAAACATATAGGAATGAAATTTACTATCAATATTCAATTAGAATAATTATGTAATTCACATAAAGAATAAGGGCTTATGTGCAAATCTGCACAGTCTTATCCCCATCCACCAGGAAGAGGAACGGACGTTTCTGGATGGCGTCGCTTGGGAACCGGCGTCCCTTGGCCTGGTGGCCGCGCGTACGCGACCGCCGGTCAGCCAGCCACCACCGCCGTGGGTCAGGCCCTCAGCCGCCGGCCTGGCCTTGGGCGTGGGAGCCACGTGAGGGCCTGGCCGCCGGGCGCGGCTGCCAGTTGCCGGGCGCAAGGCCGCAGCCACGGGAGGGGCGCTGCCGGTCGCTGGGGCCGCGAGGAGCCATCGGCCGTGGGGCAACCGGCCCGGGCTGTCCGACGGAGCGACCTACACCGCGGCAGGCCGGGCGTGTAGGAAACGCCGCCGTCGAGAGCGCTAGGTGCGCGTGGCCACCGCCGCGGACGTGATGGTCGACAGGGTCTCCGCCGCTGACGGAAAGCCAAGCGCTGGAGCCCGCCACCGCCACCGCCGTGGCCAGTCAGGCGCGCGGTCCAGCCTACGACCTTGCTTGTGGGCGCCGCTGCTGCCGGACTGGCAAGGGCGAGCGCCGCTGCTGCCGGCCTAGCGCGTGCGGGCTCTGCGGCCGGCCTGGCGCGCAGCCCTGCTGTACGGGCAGGCACGCGGCAACTGCCGCCGGCCAAGTGCACAGGCACCGCCGCAGGAATGGGACGCAACCCCGTCTCTGGTCTGGCACACGCGAGCGCCGCTGCTGGTGTAGCGAGCAGGCCCACCACGACCGGTGGGACGCGCGGACTCGCGGCCATTGCCGTAGAGAGGTAAGAACATGATAAAGTGAAGAAAAACCATAGCCGGTGGTTACCGTCTTTTGTTCTGAGTGCGTCCTTCATCTTCTTTCTTTCGATGTGGAGGACGACCACGGTGTTGCGATGAAAACGGTCATCGATTTCTTTGTCGATCCATGTTGATGGTGACTGCTCGGCCAGCCATCATCTTGTACGCATCAATTTCCTATGGATAAGATGAAGAACAGATGTGTCTTGGAACGATGAAGGCCTACGTGCCCTCTGTGCTTGCATCGAACATGGAGGCCGGCAGGATCCAGTTCTGCCTCCTTGTTCTGACGCAAAAACAATGGTGAAGGAGCATGACGCCGGCACTGTTCCTTCGAGGACGGACGGCGCTGCATCATCGACGTCGAATCCTTTTCCTTTCCGGCCCAAAACCAGCGGAGGGCAAACGTCGCTGATAATGTATTAGAAAGTAGAGAGCGAGAGAAAAAGCGAGTGATGCAAATGATTGGCTATTGAACAGTATATATATATACACGCGTATTGTTACGTAGCTGCCACATAATAAGTTATTATGATGTCACTTTGAGCTACGATAATTACTATATTAATTTACGAGATTACGTGACTCTCTCATAAGTGATTAACTATAATATTATGGTAAGTATCATATTAAATTATAGTAACCTATATATCGTAAATGTCTATTGTCATTATCGTAAATTGGTACAAACATTATCGTAAATCAAGGTGGCTATAGAATAAGTTATTCTATGGCCAGCTGCAGAATAGCCTTACCATAGAACTACTGTTCTACAGCTGGCTATAAAATAACTTATTCTGTAACCACTTTGAGTTACGATAATTACTATGCTAATTTACGATAATCTCGTGTATATATATAAGGAGTTACTATAATCTCGTAAATTAACATAGTAATTATCGTAACTCAAAGTAGTCACATAATAAGTTATTTTATAGCTAGCTGCAGAACGTAGTTATATATATATATATATATATATATATATATATATATAAGGTTGATGTGGATGGTTATAAGTGTGAAAGAAGGAGAGGTGAAAAGACATACCTTGAATTAATTCATAATTGATCACTAAATAATTCTTAACAAAAATAACCATTCTTTGGGCCTGTTCGCTGGTTGGTGCTGGTGCTGGTTTGGGCTGGCTGGTGTTGGTTTTTTGTGAGAGGAAAACACTGTTAGCTGGCTGGTTTGGGCTGGCTGAAACCAACAAGCGAACAGGCTGTTTGACTTCTGCAATTGGGATTTGGGAATAGAAACTGTGCAATTGTTTTTTTCTCTCAAGGTAATGGCAGCTGTGCTGCTGTGTCAAAAACTTTTCGCGTTTCGTGTCGTGGCCGGCCGGCCAACGCGCGTCGGACGCGGAGCGTTTGACGGGCTGTTTTCGCGTTTGCCGCTCAAACGCGCCGCGCCACAGACGCGGAAACAAACACGCCCTTATGCTCCTATCAGCTAAGGATTTCAGGCTCACAATTATCGCAAACCTATATAATACAATAACTCAAAAGTCAAACATTAAATTTGCACAGCTTTTATTCTATTTCAGGAGGGAAATATCATTTGATGTCCTACTGTCCATATCAAGATTAATTTTCCAACTTATTTGAACAAAGAATATGTGCGATTTTCTTTTATTATTCGGATAGCTCCATTATATATATTTCAACAAATAAAATATGTGCAACATATTTTTATTTATATAATTTTTATAATAAAAAATATTTTCTTTCGAATCAAAATCTAGCCTACTAGCCAAACGGTTTAAAAAATAATTCTTCTCCTGAAATGTTTCTTTAGAGAATTCGAATCCGAAACATTTCTACTAGAATTCGAATCCCTACCCAAAGCGCCCTAAGATTAGCTAGTAAGAAATTACTAGCTCTTACAAGTTATAATGACTAAAATCACCTGTGAAAGAGAATCCTCCAGAATCTTTCCCTAGGTACACGAGACTGCAACGACTGATGAATAAATGGCATGTTCGCTTCTTTTATAATCCGTCTTTTTCAGCTTGTTTTTTTAGTCGGAATAGTGTTTTCTCTTATAGTAAATCAGCCGGAACAGTGTTTCGGCTTGTTTTTTCTGTGAAGCGAACGGGGCCAAAAATGAATTCACCGCTTCCCTGTTAATTCAGATTTAAAGCGACCAGCATATATAACTCAATATGATATTAGAACCAAATATCTCAGGTTTGAATTCTACTAGCGCAATTAAATAAAAAAACAACCACTCATCTCCACTTGAAGAGGAATATTGAAACATAAAATGAATATGTGCACCTCTCCCATTAGTTTAAACTTTTCAGAAGACGTGGAGAGAAAGTATGTGAATTTGAACCGCAGTCCTAGTCATGATTTCTATCTTTTGTGGATATCTACATGTACAACAAAGACTAGTTTTGTTATTATTGTAAGAGCATCTTTAAGAGCTTTTCTAAATCTCATTCTCTAAATTATTATTTAGAGAGTCATTTGCATAAATATCGTTTTATATATATTTTCACTCTCCAATAGTTTTTCTATATCTCATGCGCACTCTAGAGAGCCATTCTCGTCTTCTATATTTGGCTAGCGAAAAATCCGGAATAGAAGACAGCTATATTTGGATGATCATTTAGAAAAGTTGTTGGAGAGTAGTTTTTTACCAAAATTTCTATTCCTAGCATTTAAAAAAAATGTGGAGAGTCTCTTGGATATGCTATAAGATATGCCTGTACCATTATTGTACCTTAATAATGGTTGGAATGGTGTTAGTTATGTTCCGCGAAAACTCATCAGAGATGTGGGGACTATAATTTTGCCATGCATATGTCCGAATGAGAGATATACGTGTGCTCATAAGACATATCACTTCAATTTAAATTCTCCAAAAAAATATCACTTCAATTTAGGGCGTGTTTAGGTTTACTCCTCTAAACTTTAGAGCTAAAGCTCCGAATAAATAATATAAAGTTAGCTCTAAACTTTAGATCACCTCACATTAGAGCTTTAGAGCTCAAAAATAGGCTAAAGTGTTATAAAGCTTTTAGAGGAGGGGATCCAAACAAACTCTACTCTGGCTCTAATCATACACGTAGTTTGTTGTCTTTAATCTAAACCTACAAAATGAGGATATGTTTTCCGAAGTTGCTTTTTACATGCAGAAACTTAGCAAGCAGGACTAAACGAAGGCATTTAAATTGGATTATGAGATCCTCCCGGCCAAAAAGAAAAAAAGTAGAGTACTCTCGAAGGATACTATGGGGTACGTACTCTGAAACAGCACCCTAAATGCGACAGTAGTATTTAAAAAGAATTTAAGTGAGAAATTTTACCTTGTTTTTCTTTTTTGATCGGAGAAATTTTACCCTGTTGGACCGAGGAGAAATGTTAATTAAACGATAAAAAACGATGAAAAGTTGAAAACGTCCAGAAGAGGAAAGGTATTTTCCACCTAGACAAATTCCTGTACCGCTTCTGCCCCCAGCAGGCGCGCCACCGCCGATCGACTCCTCTCCACTCCACCAGATCTCATCCCCTTCTCGCCCACCCCGATCACCGCGCGGGTATCGGAGCATGGCGTCTGCGGCGGTAGTGGACGCCGGCGACGCGCCGGAGCCCACGGTGCGGAACCTCCTGGACCAGGAGTCCCTCAAGTGGGTCTTCGTCGGCGGCAAGGGCGGCGTCGGCAAGACCACCTGCAGCTCCATCCTCTCCGTCCTCCTCGCCGGGGTCCGCCAGTCCGTGCTAGTTATCTCCACCGACCCTGCGCACAACCTCAGCGACGCCTTCCAGCAGCGCTTCACCAAGTTCCCCACCCTCGTCCGCGGATTCACCAACCTCTACGCCATGGTAATAAATAAACACAAAAAGAATAGCAAAATTCCCTAATTCTTTTCTCCGTCTTACGGCTCCAATCCACTCTTCTCGCGAGGTCGTCTTCACTTGACCCCACCCAATTCGGTGGTGCTTGTGAGGATTGGATGTGCAGGCTGCGTGTCCTGGCGCATGGTGATTGCCTGATTAAATTGGACCTCACCGAATTTTTGGGAAGGGATGTCAGCAGGGTTGTCTGAGGAGAGAGGCAGTATGCAGATTGAAAAGTCGCATGCTGCCCTTAATTTTCCATGTATGGAAGTCATAGGCATTTACCTAGGCCAGGCTATACGAGATGCAAAGTTACCAATTCGGGGTTGGTTTGGGTTTGTGCTTGTACTTTGAGGCATGTGGGTCACAGTCACAGGATTGTTGCTCAGTGATGGGGCCTGCATCTTCATGAACCATCCCAAGTGGTGATTAGGCTCCTTGAATAATATGGTGATGATTTCCACATTATTTCTTGAGTTGATTACGGAAGTTGAAGAATAGGTAGCAGACTTGTACAAAAGAAGTACCTAATCTTTAGCAATTTTTTTTATTTATGCTAAGAAGAGGTTAATAACAAATTAAGTGGTTGGCTTCCATTCTATTTCAGTTTCATTTAGAACATGTTCCACTTGGGTATTAAAAAAAAATGTATGACCATTGACTAAGCACCAGATTTTAGCATTTGCCTCCTTTTCTTTGTATTTTCATCCACATCAAGCATGATACTGATACAAAATCCATTTAGTCATTTCTTTGTATTCTCACAAATGATATACAAAGTAAAACAGGTTTCATTTATTGTCCTATGAGTTCTATTTTTTAAGAGTAATCTGCCATTTCATTAATTTTATTCTTTTTCCAAAAGGTAGCTTGATTCATGTTATTAGAGTTGGTATTTGGCTGAATAGTCTCATTTCATAACTTTATTTGCAGGAAATTGACCCAAAGGTAGAAAATGATGATTTATCCAATGAAGGAATGGAGGGATTCCTTTCAGAACTGACAAATGCGATTCCAGGAGTAGACGAAGCTATGAGTTTTGCTGAAATGCTAAAGTAAGGTTTTGTTCCGTTCAGTTGTTTGCCATTCTTCCCAATATGACCAGTTACTTCCATTACCATCCATTT